ACAAAAGTACGGTTTAACATGTAACAGAAATATATTACTCTTGTATTACTTTTGTACAGTATAATGTACATCTTTAAATATTCAATTTTCTATCAAATTTAAAGAAAACATTAAAAATAAATATTACAACCAGATTAATCACTTAACTGTAGAAAAAAATAATACAATGATTAGCCTATTATAAAATGTTTTAAAGGAATATTCACACAATTTAAAATAAATGTTTAATGCCTTCATTTGATTTTCAGAAAAATTAAAACAAGAATTTCTGGGGGGGAAAAAAGAAAGAAAGAAAGAAAATGTTTGTAGGGCCCTATTGTTCAAAATGTTGAAATTGAGATTTTTGGATTTATTTTTTCACTGAAATAAATGTTTTTGTAATTACACAGAGAGTAAAGTACCGAAAAAAGGTACCGTTGGGTACCTGCACCGTAAGAGCAGTAGTGTTAATGATGATAGTTATTATTTTTATTATAATAATATTTACTACTGTTACATCACCAACAACAACAACATATACTACTACTAATAATTATAATAATAATAATGATAATAAATTATTTTTATTATTATTTACATTTAATAAATAATATATACTCTAGTACTACTACTACTACTACTACTAATAATAATAATAATATTATATTATTATTATCAACATTTAATATATAATATGCACACTACTACTAATAATAATAATAAATATGTACAGTATTTTATGTTCAATATTACATATTATCATTAACAACATTTAATATAATACTACTACTTCTATTATTATTATTATTATTATTATTATTATTATTATTCCTCTATACACAGAGACATCTCTTTTTGTAATGATAATAGTGTAGTGATATACAAAATAAAATCATAACATTATTTACAATAATTGTACACTACATTATGTTTATTAAATGCTGCTGACAATCACTGTATTTTCAACATAATTACATTAAAATTATGGTGTTTTTAAACTATTTTAAATTATCATTTAATACTTTTTTCACTTTTTTTCTCAGAATTGTGACAAGGCAACTAGCAATTGCAAGTTTTTTTTTTGTGAGTTTCTCGCTCACAATTCAGACGTTTCCTCACTATTCCGGGACAAAAACAGTAAAAAAAAAAGTTTATTTTTTTTATTATTTTTTAGAATGTCGTGCACTGATGAAGCAAGCACAATAATACCAAGGGCATTTAAGGAAGCAATTAATGTCAATTCTAATTTCATTCCAATGACTCCAGTAAATAACCCAGGCTGAACACAGGTCATAAACGCACAGATATCTGACCTCCTCCTCTGAGCTGACCAGCCGTGACGTCACTCCTGTGGTGTAGATGCCTCCGCTCCCATCCTCATGGATCTTAATGTTGGACTTCCTACCTCGAGCCTCAGGGTCACGTGTGCTGTCAAACAGGTCCAGGATCTCCTCATTATAGAGCTACAAGACAAATACACAAGCTTTGTGACCTTCAGAGGGCAAAGGTCAAGAGGTCAAAAGGCCAGAGCCTTGCATGTTCGACCTCGGGAATCCCAGAGACCACACAAGCTGATAGACAAGGGAATGATAAATAATGGCAACCTAACTCATGAGCAAAACTATAAGTCAAGAGAGAATGAAAAAAGAGAAAGTAAGGGACAGGGCTTTTCCCAGCTTCCCTTGCTTGGGGAAGTGGCACAGAGGGACTTGATAAAATCGATTTAGGGTTCAAAACAATAAATCAAACTGCTAATATAGAACAACAATGCACAAAGTGCACAAAGGAGTTCTGGAAAGGACATAAGGGCATTTTAATGCCCTATTAAAGCCGCCCCAAGAGACGGCGACTGTTCACAGCCACAGAACTTGACAAATCTGTCGAGTTATTCCCCACAGCGAGCCGCGATTCTGCTGAACAAACAGCAGCCTGTGCCCAACAGCAAGCGGCACGGATCGTTAAAACGCCCTGTTACAGGTTTAAACTCATTACCTAAGCCAGGACTTTACACGAGGAAGGGGCTAATTGGTTTACAGCTACACTGCTGTCTGCGCAGCCTGCCAGCTGAGGGCCTCCTTCCCGCCTAATGACTGATATCCAATCATGTGGACTTGCGAGGGGTTTTCTCCATGTCATCAAGAGCAGTTCCCTCTCAATCACACTCAGGTCGAGAGTCACAGCACAGTTACGAGATAAACAGAGCAAGGAGACTGGGACTACAGCCATCAGACCCAATACACACTGCAGAAAAGAGTTTTGATTATTGGAGTACTTTTATAAGAAAATACTATTTTACTCTGTCTTCTCAGAAACGACAAGTAACTATAGAAGCTTATTTCTACCACGGAATAGAAAAAAGTAATTGTGACTATCTCACAACTTTTTTTTTTTTTGTATTTTTCTCAGAATTGCAAGATGTTAACTCGCAATTACAAATTTATATCTCACAGTTGGGACTTTTTTTCTGGCTATTCTGAGAAAAAAAAGTCAATTATCTCACTTAACTGTAGAAAAAAATAATACAATGATTAGCCTATTATAAAATGTTTTAAAGGAATATTCACACAATTTAAAATAAATGTTTAATGCCTTCATTTGATTTTCAGAAAAATTAAAACAAGAATTTCTGGGGGGGAAAAAAAAAAGTTTGTAGGGACCGATTGTTCAAAATGTTGAAATTGAGACTTTTGGACTTATTTTTTCACTGAAATAAATGTTTTTGTAATTACACAGAGAGTAAAGTACCGAAAAAAGGTACCGTTGGGTACCTGCACCGAAATTCAGGTACCGATACCGGTACCGTACCGGTTAAAATGTGAACGGTACCCAACCCTAGTGTTGATGTGCCGTACCAGTTGTGGCTGCGGGCAGACTCTCATCTGGCAGAGGTGGATGGTGAAGATGGCATGAGAGCGGGAACTCTGGGCGTTCATCTGCGTGCTGGCGGTGGTGCGGGAAAGAGCGCCCAGCTTCAGACACTGCAGCAGCTGAGGAGAACGGACAGAAGTCTGAGTGAGACGAGCATTGACAGAAACATCTGTTACTGTTAAGTCATCAAGTAATAAGAGCCATTTAAAACAAATAAACATGAAGTCAACAATAAAATTACATTCACAAATCATTTCACTTCCATCATCTGTCAGGTTTCTGAGTGAAAACAAATGATCAATGAGAAATAATGTCAAAACAATGTAGCTCTTCCTGCAACAAGCTACTGTTTTTGTAACTCTGTACTCCACAAAAACAAACACTGCATTACAATGTTTTAATAATAATAATAATAATAATAATAATAATAATTAATCGTAGTAGTAGTATTTTATATTAACATTCCCGCCTAATGACTGATATCCAATCATGTGGACTTGCGAGGGGTTTTCTCCATGTCATCAAGAGCAGTTCCCTCTCAATCACACTCAGGTCGAGAGTCACAGCACAGTTACGAGATAAACAGAGCAAGGAGACTGGGACTACAGCCATCAGACCCAATACACACTGCAGAAAAGAGTTTTGATTATTGGAGTACTTTTATAAGAAAATACTATTTTACTCTGTCTTCTCAGAAACGACAAGTAACTATAGAAGCTTATTTCTACCACGGAATAGAAAAAAGTAATTGTGACTATCTCACAACTTTTTTTTTTTTTGTATTTTTCTCAGAATTGCAAGATGTTAACTCGCAATTACAAATTTATATCTCACAGTTGGGACTTTTTTTCTGGCTATTCTGAGAAAAAAAAGTCAATTATCTTTTTTTTTTTTTTTTAATGGCAGAGCTTACACATATGTGTGACACTAGCGCTGTTATATAAGGACAAGAACTTCATCTCCAGAGAGATCTGAGAGTCACTTCATCAGCAATTTATGGTTTAATTTGAGAAAAATTACTGTCGAGTGCACACAAAACCTCAAAGGTCTTCACGACAACCAAAACAAAAAGTTCAGTTTAACTTGAAGAAATTGTGACAGAAATACGTCTCAATGTATTAATAATACTAATACTACTACCAATAAAATATTATTAAAATGTTTTTTTAAGGAATAATTACAATTATTAGAACAACTGTTCTTTAATTTCTTTTTTAACAGTAAACGTCTGTTGTACTTGTACAGCACTTTGTTTGCAAAAAAATGAAATGGTTAGTTACATTTTTATTTACTGTTAAATGTTTTATGACTTCATCTGATTACCAGAAATATTAAAATACACAACACAGAATTTCAGAAAAAAAATAAAAATAAAACATTATTGGGCCCTATTATTTATTTATTTAAAAAATAATAATAATAAATTATAAGTAATAAATCAAGTTGTTTTTATTAATTCAATTGATTAGACATGCTCTTTGTTTATTACAATTTAAAATTAAATCATGTGAAAAATTAAACAGAACTTGAGAGTTATTTCATAGGGTCCTAAAAATCAACATTTTGGTAAAATTGTAATAAACTGTTAAATTGTACAACTTTCAAGATTTAAATTAATTAGAAATGCTTTTGGATTACTAAAATGTAATTTAAGTCTCACCTCAAGGAACTGGGCGCTGACTTTGAATTCTGGCAGGGGCATGCCGGCGCTCTGCGCATCTAGTCTGCGTTTCTGGATGCCCTGGAAGAGATGTTGCACAGCCCGTGGGATGATGCCCAGCTCTTCCTCCGAAATGGTCACATCAAAGCCAGTGCCCATGGTGTAGGTCTTTCCTGAACCGGTCTACATGAGAGAGCAAGACGACAAACATCAAAACTTGCACAAAACCCATTAAAATGCACAAGCAAGAATTCAAATGAATACAACATGTACAATGCTAACACACCATATACATTCATAACAACATAACTAGTGATTAAAGGGGTTAGGAAATGCATTTTTAAAATTATTTTATGTTTCCTTAGGTCTGCTTATAATCAGTTTTGTTGTTTCATCAAAAACGGTCATAATCTAGATATAAATGGTCATTTTCTACCCTGATTTTAGCCTCTGATTTGAATGCTCTGTTGAAAGGGGCGTGTCTGCTGAGAGACTTCTCTGGAAACGCCCACTTCTATGATTGGCCAACCTCTTTGCATATGAAATGAGTATTACATGGTGAACTCTCTCTTTAGAGCTACTCCCGAACACAATCATGTCTACTGAGCACACGATGCAAGGATCTCATTGCAACGCAATTTCTGCAATCTCACCAAGACTTCCATCATAACTAACATAGTGTAAAACACAATGTAAATGAGAGACTCGTTGAGCAAAAATGACAAACTGTGTCACTGATTATTACGTGAGTTTTGGTGAAAAAGCAGAAATCAAATCACTGATAGACTCGCGCTGATCTTGAACAGACTGCTCCAGTGAATATAAAGAGAACAATCTTTGATCACTTTCTGTTTGTGTTCACAATATGGAGAACTGTAGTTATGCAATTAGATTTTCATTGCATCTAATCAAACAATTGCAAATGTGAGCAAGATAATATCATCAGTTGGCATTCAAAATGATGCAAATATCAAATGCCTATTTAATCAGATTATATGCAATCATAATTAATCATTTAATTTAATAATATTAAAACAATTAAAAATATATATTTGAATTAATAATTTGGTAATTTCATATGTATGCTGCTTTTTGACCATGTCAAAGTTTTCGAAATACAATCTGTTTTCTAAAGTTTTCTTTTAACGATTTCTAGGTTTTAAGAACCTAAAAAGGTACAACATTTTCAGGCCAAAATTTCAAGCTACCGAAACTTTGAAGCAATCCTTAGAGGAGTTCTTAGTAGGGGTGTGCGATATTGACAAAAAATTATCTCGATATTTTCTGGGATTTTATCGATAACGATAATTAGACTAAATGCATTTTAATAGCCTGAATCATGCAGTGAAAAGAAAACACACTAAATGCGCACACACACTAGTCTAGACTTCACGTAATGTATGCGTTCAATATCACGATGCATCACAATGCATTGACGATGCACTGTATCCTCAATTTTCAATTTTACTTCACATTTATACAATTTTGTCAATAAACGTGGTTTCTCAAGTTAGTGGTATTACCCCCTGCTAGTGATGTGACATTTGAACCGAGGCATCGGAGCTTGTGTCGAGAATAAATGAGCCAGATGAAGGCTCGATTCGAAGCTTGTGTTGTTAACACAGAAATCACGTGACCAATAACAAACGAAGCTTCACTTTCTGTCCAGTCACGTGTGCAATTCACTTTGCGTGTTGGAAGTTCGAAACCCCAGATCTTACTTCACGAGTAAGTTTTAATTCGGACTTATTCAGTTACATTTTAGATACCCAGTCATACAAATAATATGAAGAATACAAATTATTTCAGAAAAATTCAATATTTGTCATATGCAGTTCATATGTGTACATTATTCTTCTATTACATCATATTGATATTCGTACTGGTATTAAAATGCCCAGTTTAATGGGTAAATTAATTTATCAGAGACAGAAATTCAACAAACACAAACACTTTTAGGCTTTTATTTGTGCACGTAACTTGAATCGGTCCGTGACATATGTGGTAGATGCCTCGTCCTACGGAGCGTCTTTCACAGGCTTTTAGCTACTATATTTTTTATGTTTTATGTTTTCGAGACACTCGAAGCTTTTAATCTTTTCCCGAAACAGTCAGAGGAAAGCCTCAGTGCTTCACGAGGCTTCATTTGCCCATCCCTACCCCCTGCATATTTCGTTGTGCGTGACATGATTTACACACAGCGTGTGTCTTCAGGTCGTGCTTACCAGGTTGTTCATAAAAGCCGAAATGTGGCCAGATGTCGGCTTTTAAAGTAGTTGGGAGCATTTTTAATTACTTGCACTCACGTCTCGCCTCCCTCCACCATTAGGCACGTTCGATTTGAAGCAGCGCTGCGCAGAATGATCAGTGTACGTCATAAACCGCGAGAGCGATTTGAAAGCATAAGGATCCGTCTGCTCTCGCGGTACTTGATGTCATACACTGATCATTCTGAGCAGTGGCGCATCAAGCCGAACGCGCCTAATGAAAGCTACCGCGACAAAGCACGTATGCGACAAATGACATCACAGAAGCGTCAGTACGTTATAATCGGTTATGGTCTATTACTGAACCGATACCGAATCGTCCTCGTCTGCATCGCGATGCATCGAAGAAACTATTAATTTCGACACCCCTAGTTAAAATACGCTACGCGTATAATTATTTTTTGTTTTTTAAAGAAAAAAAAAAAAACAAGTCGCGTATAAATCACATTTTATTATTTCATTCAGAAATAGGCCTAATGCCGAGATAATGAACAGGCTGCATTGTCAAGGTAGCAATGCTTAACTGTGTCTTAACATGTGGCGCCGGCGCAATCAATCACTTGAATTTTTTCCTTCTAACAGTGGAAGCAACTGCTCCTTTTAGTCATAAAGATAATCGGACTAGGCTACTTGTTGCACAGTTTTTCTTTCATTTTCTTAATTTATAAAGTAAAAATATATTTCTCGAATAGGCCTATTTATACGTTATATATAGCCAAGCTTTATTATGTTTTTCTCCGCTCGCTGAAGGGTTAACGGTTAATAATCGGTTAACGAGCGTCGGTTGTCGGTTAGGAAAAATAACCGAAATGAACATCCCTAACAACGCATTATCACTATATTATCCCGCTGTATAAACCGTAAATTAAGCGACTGTCTTTTTTATAAGCGCTTGCGCCTCACATGAGAGTTGCCTATAAGCAGAACTATTCCTCTCAGGTGTTCATGTGTCCATTCCTGTTTCAGCTGGCTTTCATACATCATCTAACACAGAGTTACAGTTCGAGCGATTAACCCTGACTGCTACACAATAAGCACTCTAAACGTGAAGAGGGTGTGTGACGAGTGGAACCGAGAGGCTCGACTCACAAAGACATCACATAGCACGTGAGGGAAAGGGAAAGGTCACAGTGTTAATACTGATTCATTGAAATTAATGAGCTGACCATATGGATGTGCAAGCGAAAAAGTGTTTTTGACATCACAAACAACTCATCTGACATTTCTGGATCACAATCTGGGTAAACATCATTTTATCGGTGTCCAAGTGTGATAGATCTTACTTGTCCATAAGCGAAGACAGTTGCGTTGTATCCCTCGAAGCAGCCTTCAACTAGCTTGTGAACACAGGCGCTGTAGATCTGATGTTGTTGAGCATCCAAGTCAAACACAAAGTCATACGTAAAGGCCTTGTCTTTACCCATGACCACCTGAGTCTCTCCGGGGGTAACGCAGGTGCAGATGTGACATCCCTCAATCTTTTCCTTTGCCATCTGCGGCCGGATCCTGATGAAAAGAACAGAACACAATTCTAAATGTAACAAAAAAAAAAATTGACACATATTAACAAAGGCAAAGATTCAAGGACATGCTGCATTCAAGTCATGTGGGAATTACCAGATTTGACAATTTCGTGGTTCAATATTAATGGTTCAATCTTCAAAAAGTCAAAAGTTGACAGGATGGCTTATCTTTATGTCTCATTGATAATTCTCATTGACTCATAAAACTATTTCAGTGATTCTGAAATGACATGAATTCACCATGTAATGAGGAAATGAGGACATAGACCTGGTGTTCACCACATTATTATACAGTAAGAACATCTAATTTCTAGCAGGGTGAAAGAACAGGTTAAAGCACTTACATTAACAGACAAGTGAACACTTGTCAAGTTAACATCAAGGTTAATTAAATCTCCAGGCTAAAAAACCCACTAATTCGTTAAACAATTAATTGAATCAAGTTAATTAGCTTTTGCTTGGGGCATTTGTGTTGGGCTGATACACATTCATCTCTAGTACAGACACTTCTAGCAACCACATAGCAACATGCTTAAAAACCAATAACAAGCACTGGTGAGTGGCGATGGACAGACGCCACTCATATCATATGTTGTTCAAATAATCTAGTTTTAAGCTGGTATTGTATTGTAATGACCACTGAGTTGAATTAGAGCCCATGGCTCCTTGATGACAACAGCCCTATTGTCCTCCATCTCTGATACACACAGACTCATAATAACACAAACACACACACACACGCACATCTGTTTAGCCCAACACAGTTATATAAAGGAGGCCCGCCGCCCGGAGAGACACTGAGAAAGTATTACGAGTGGCCTGGCTACCTTCTCTTTGTGTCATAAACACGCAGTGCACACGTTTATATGAATAAGGACATAACATAGGAATAAACTATTGTTTTTATACAGTCATTTCTAATTACAAAAGACCGAACCTAATTCTCACCTTAACCCTACCCTTAAAAAAAACGCTCTGCATATTTAGATGTACAGTCAAACCAAAATGTACTCAGACACCTTCAACATTTCACACATTATCACAGTTTATTCGCTATAGTTTAGAAAATGGTAACAAAATATGACAAGAACTCAGAGTTAAACTGTGTCAGAACAAATTCAGCTTGATGATATCAGATAACAATTACTCTAAGCAAATTAAATATGGTCAGGTCAAAATGTCGGAATAATTTTATCAGTTTTACTGGTAGTCCACTGTATGAAGAATTTTGGGGTATAATATGTCACAGTTTACTTTTTTTTTGTTATCCTCACTTACATAAATGAACAATAGAGTCCCGCACCCACTAATAAAAAAAATATCAAAGATTATATCTGGTGTCTAAAACATATATTTATGTAATCAATAATCAGTTTATTTATAAACAATTTATCAAAAGTAATTAATCATTTCATTATTATAAATAAATGAAAAGTAGGCTACTTTTGATAGATGTGTTTAGAAATAAATATTACATAAAATTAATAAAACTAAATATTTATTTATGTTCTTGTTATTTATCTGTGAAATATTTTAAACGAGAAAAATTACTAAGGGCAACTTTAATTCTAAAAATGCATGTTTTATTTCACGACTAGGCTTAGGGTGTAAGTCAAGGTTGGATAAAAAATAAATGCAATTAAAAAAAATGTAATCAGGTAAATGAAAAAAATACATATACGGTTCCATTTTACCTGAAGCCTTTAAATGTAATGCATCATAAAAGTACTTTTAATGTGTTAATTATGCACCTTATAATGCATTGTTTGATCTCATGAATAATTGTAACCACAGTTATAACAGTTTTATTCATTGTTACACCTTTAGAAAGCATATTTCATAAAAAAATATATAACACACCACACATTGCAAAGAAGGTCCTTGTGTTACGAGATCAGCAAAACATAAAACACCACAAACAGTGTCAGTAGCAGACACGACCCAGCACATGTTAGTCACATTTGAACCCTAATTCTGTGTTACATTGATCATTAGCATCTTCAGCTGTGAGGGATGCACAAACCAGCCGAATGTGGCAGGAAATGAGAGAGAACCATGAATAATCAATTAACCAGAGAGCACACATGCACAGAACGCAGGCTCGATCCCTTCTGTTCACACGCGCATCTATCCAAATAAGCCCATCCTCCTCTCTCTCTCTCTCTGGCCTCAGCTGAGCTTTAGCCTCTTTCGTTTATCCCGTTCCACAGTCAGGGGAACTGTAATCTATAGCGCATTGATCAGGAGGACAAACACAACACATGAGGCGCTCCCCCGAGAGGATCACACACTATAAATAACCCCACGCTGGAGGATTACACATCCGATCGGCCCGCACCGCATCCTTACCTGCCACTGAACACCGATCCCAGACCAGCTTACGCCACTCAAATCCTCCAACAGAGTCCTCAAAACCGTTTTTTAAATCAGTGTGTCGAAGGCACGTCCTTATTGCCTTGATCTGTTCATCTTAAAGAGCCGTGCAATTTGTAATTTCCTGTGAGATAAAATGCTAAACATCTCATGGAGATTATTAACACTTTGCTAAATAATTATGTTGATGTTCCACAGAACAAAGACATTTCATTCCCACAGGGCCTGGAGTTTTAATAGGGTTGGTTGCTCTAAATAAGGACTGCTAGTGCTATCAGTGTCACTATCAATTTTTAATTACGCAAAAGGATTCATGCAAAAAACAAAAACATCTTTAGATGAGTCAGAGACAAAATGCCACGAAAAAGTATATCCTCAAATACTTAAGCAACCTCTATCTCACATGCTGTTGTGTTTCCCAAAGGCGCAATTCAGAAAGTGTCTGTGTGGCTCTGAATTAGATTCATAAACAAGAAATCAGATGTTGGGCCTCCCATTTTAATATGTGCAGTGATGCATCATTTGTGTCTGACAGTCATGACACCCACACATGACAGAAACGCTCCTCACACACATGACGCATCTGTCCGCCTGCTGCCTCTGTGTGTGTTTGTTTGTATATGTGTACAAAAAACCAAAAGGAAGTGTGTCATCAGTCTGCTCTGACTGCACTTCCTGGTCTGCAGAGGGAAGTTCTCGCCACATCCTTCAGTTAGAGCCGTCTAAGATCAGTGTGAAGCCACCATACCCACAAAGAGTCATTTTCCCCCTTGAACATTTTCAAAAATAACTTCTGCATGTTGAAATTATCTTTCTCACAGAATGTGGCATTTTAAAGCTAATATACTTTAGTTACTACTAGACAGCAGCATCAGAGGCATACCGTCCATCTATAGCAGGTATATTAGTGGATTTTAAAATGGGAAATTTCGATGGGGCAAGACAGAACACTGGAATCATTTTTTTTTTTTTTTAACTCACAATTTCAAAAGTATAGCCATTAGCCATAAGACATGAAACTGTATATGAATCAACATGAGTCTATTGTTGTAACATTGCCTTCAAGTCATGTCTATGCAAAGTTCAACTCCTGCCATAACTATGCAAAGCCAGAAAACCATTAACTTTCAAACAGTATATCATATCTAGTATATCAGGAAGGGATGTAAAATGTAACAAAGTTAGGTTTACTTTCAGAAAACTCCCATAGACAGCAAGGTAACTACCACGTTCAAGGTCCAGAAAAGTACCAAGATGATCGACAAAGTAGTCCGTGTAACATCAGTAGTTCAACTGTAATGTTACGAAGCTACGAGAAACATTTTTGCGCAAAGAAAACAAAAATAACGACTTTATTCCACGTTTTCGTCTCTACTGCGTCACTTTGGCCGCGCGTTCACAACAGACGCATGGTGGA